TTCCAGGACAGCAGACGCTATATAGTGGGACCCTACACACACACACACACACACAGAGAGAGAGAGAGAGAGAGAGAGAGAGAGAGAGAGAGAGAGAGAGAGAGAGAAAATAAATGAATGAATATCCAGCCAGGAATATATCCCAAGAAACTCAGCAAAATGAGAATACTTTTCATTTTGTATGTTTCATTTTTTACGCAAAACTGTGCCTTGTTGACTTTCTACCTAGATTCCTGCTTTTCTGCAATGAAGGGCAGGCAGTAATCTCTTCCTTCATTGAGTTTTCTTGCTTTTATGGTTTCTTTTAACTGAATGTTTAGCATCTTACCCAAACCACCGCTATTCTAGGCTATGCAGGTCTACCCAGCATCAAGCCACCCTTTGCTAGCTATCATTAGCTAAATAGACCTTCACACTTACCTAACCATATCACCTAGACCCTTGGGGTTTTCCAGTCTATTTAAACCCGATGTGGGCAGATTTCCATTTCCTTTGTTCTTTGTGTAGGCTTGTTTAAGGTGTAGGTCTCTAAAGGGGATGGAAGGGAGACAGATGTTGAGGATGGAAGAGATTGGCAGTTTGAACAGCACAGTTTGGTCTGATGGCTTTGTTATGCTAGAAGTGCGAGCTCCTCCAAGTGCGCCTTCCGGAATTTGCATCATACTACAATCATACTACATTAAATCCTTAACGCAGGGTAGTGTGTTAAATAAAAAATAATACGAGAAATGTAAACCAGTGGGTCAGTTCTGTTAAATCATCTCCACAGATACAAATTGCAGGCCTTCATAAATCCTAACACACTTGAGACCTTTAGAAGGGGAGAAGCCTAGAATACTGATTAGGCTCTCAGGAGCGAAAACAGGTGATGTCATAGCACGCAGTGCGGTGTGGTCACCGCCAAGGCCGGCTGGGGAACTGCAGTTCCTGGGAGCCTGGTGCTCTGCACCAGGGGCAGAGGCACCCTGTCATGGGCTCCCGCAACACCGGTGAGCACCGGGCACCAATCAGGTGTTCGTTCCGCAGTCTTTGTTCTCACTGGGGAGCAGGCTGCCGGAATCTGGTCTACAATCCTCTTCCTATGGTTGGTTCCGCGGGGTACCTGGCTCCCTGACTTGCCTGGGTTGGGCATCCGGCCAAAAGAGCTTTCCGCAGTGGCTTCTGTCTTCTGTCTCTGGAACGTAGAAGCTAAACCCTGACTCACCGTTGTCAGCTTTGGGAGAGGAGGGTTCAATCATTTTAAATGGCAACTCGTACTCAGAACCTACCTTCCCAAGCAGGAATTGTGCTTTGCACATCTCTAACCAGTTGCCTCGGACAGAATATGTGTGTGTGTGTGTGTGTGTGTGTGTGTGTGTGTGTGTGTGTGTGTGTGTGTGTGTGTAGGAACCTCTGACCTATTCATGCTAGATAAGGGAACTTTCTTTGCTGTGAGAATGATGGAGAGAGGGAAAACCTCCTAAACCAAAGATGTGTCTCCGGGTCCCCACTCCATTAGCTGTACAGAACTCAGACCTCTATCCCTACAGCCTCAGGTAGCTAGCTGGTCCTTCGCTCCAGACTCACGGAGCGAAGCATGAAGTTCTTTGAGATCTCTAGGTGCAAAGTGATGCAAGACCACAGTCTTCCTTACAGCTATTCTTAGATTTCGACCGAGAGAAAGCCGAACCACTGCCCCGGAGGAGGGAACGTTCTAGCGTCCAGCCTGCCCACCCCCGAGAGATCAGGAAATGTTTAGCTCGGTCTCAGATCCTCTAGCGAGCTCTAGCTTCCAGCTATTTAATCTCACTCCATTCGGCCCAGACCTCGCAGAGGGGGCGTGGCTTGTCCTGAGGGTGGCGCTAGAGTCCCGGGTTAATTTGCATACACCACACCCTCCGCTTCTCATTGGCAGACTGGAGTCCCTCCCACCCCACTACCTAACTAACCCGCGGTCACCCTTCACCGCCGAGCCTCGGAGATAAACTTAACTTGCCCGGAGATTCGAGGTGCTCTCGCCTCCCGCGATTGGCCGACGCCACTCATTGGCTGTGGGTGCGGAAGGGGGCGTGGCCGGCACGGTCTGATTGGCGGGAGGGGGCGGCTCCCAGCGCGGCAGCCCTGAAGGCGGCGAACCGCGGGGGCGGGGCTGCACTGAGGCGCTGAGACGGCCGCGGCTGCTCGTCCTGGCTGGCGGGGCGGGGGTCTGGCGATGGGGGCGGGAGGAACAACGGGCCGGTGAGCGCCACGGCCGCCGTCCCCGCCGAGCTCGCGCGGGCAGCCGCTGCGCTGTAGTTGCCGCCCGACCCCCTGAGAAGAGGACGTTGGAGAGGCCCTCCGCTAGCAGCCGCGGTGACAACCCGGCGTCGGCGCGATGAACCGCGGTGGCAGCAGCGCGTCGGCCTCGGCCAACTACCTGCTCTGCACCAACTGCCGGAAAGTGCTGCGGAAGGTACGGCGCGCCCGCGTCCGGCGGCGAGGCGCTCCCCAGGGTCGGGGTCCGGCCGGAGCTCAAGGGGGGGCGAGACGCGAAGGGTCCCCCCGCGGGGTCCCCGCGCCCGGCCCTGGGCTGCCGCCGGGTCTGCCCCGAGGCTGAAGGGATGCTGGGATGCTGGGAGGGACCGGCTCGGCTGGGGATGGAGGCTGGCCTGAAATCACTGCAGCCTGTCTGGTCTGCAGGAGCCTGGCTCCCTCTCCGCCGAGGCTGACTCTGGGGGCTGTTTTCTTTGCCTGGGTCGCTTCTGCCAGGCCTACCGTGCCCCGGCACCCCCTCTTGACATTCTCTTGGTGGCTCCCGAAAGGCACCGTGAAGGCATCTTGAACTTTATGCCCATGGGAAACGCTGTTGGTTCTTCCAGTGCCTTGGGCTGGGGTTGGTGGAGGTGGAGGTGGAGGCTGAAGTGGACGTGGGTTCGCCCTCCGTATCATCCCCCACCGCGGTGTGGATCCAGAAAATCCGACCCAGGATCGGCTTACTGCTTTCCAGAGTGACTGATAGAAAGTTTACTCCAGTATTGTTTAGCTTACTTGGCTTAATCGCTCCGTGGGGGATGGAAATGCAGGGAGAGAAAGGATGACAAAATGTCCCTGTAGGCGCAGGAGAGTTTTTAACAGATCTGAACAGCTTCCTTGAATAATACAATCCGTTTCTACTCCGCAGTCTATTTTTACATTGCATGAAGTGAGATCATTAGGTTAGGTGCTTCTGTTTGTCCAGCACCAATGAATTAAAATTGCTGAGCTGTGCATATCTGAGAGAGAGCTATGATGAATACAGTGCCGTTTTTGTCAATTTCCCTATCTACAGTCACTTTAGGATTGTTCTTTATGTATTAAGAAAAACAAGCAAGCAAGCTCAAATATTTGCGCTCTTTGTCCAAAAACTGTTTTTCTTCCTCTGTGGGTCAGGCCAAGTGCCAATCAAAGTTGTTTTTCAAGCCTCTTTTCCCTGCAGTGAAGCTGGTTTTTTTTTTTTTTTTTTTTTTTTTCCTCCTTTCTCCTATTTTATTTGAGAGCGTCAGGAAAGCAAAGGGATTGCAGGTTTGAAGTTAATCAAACAATTAAATACGCCTTAAATTGTGTTTATTGGATATGTTTCTCTTAAAACTGATTTTTATTAAATGTGCATGTTGAGTATGTGCAGTTATTTTTTTCCCCATAAACTCCTGGATCAAATTACAGTTGATACTTGCTCAGCTCATTGTAGGGCAGCTTGTGAGAAATGTAATGGATCAGAAGCTCTGTTGAGCGCAGTTGAATGTTAACTCTTTCACTGCTGGACCAGATGGCATCTGAATTTAGCTTTTAAAAAACATTGTTTCTTAATGTTTAAACCGAAACTGTCTTTGTCAGGAAAAACAATACCAGTGAACCCTGTTTAATTCAATTTACTCTCAGTTAAAATGAAAGGAAATTATATTTTTTAACTGAATGTGGGGAAAGGTGCTATAATTGACTTGCTTAAGTGATATAATTCTGTTTCAATCAAAGCACATTAAAATTTTAATAAAAATTTTTAAAAAGTTAATAGCAATTTGTTTGGCTCCAGGATATTTTTTTGAAAGAGCTTTGATTATGAATCCATAGCACTAGCACTAAGGACATGTTTATGATTTTCTTCTAGTTATTAAGGCACTAGTACTCTGTTTACCTAGGCAGATCTCCTTCATTTGTAGCCATCACTGAAAGGAAGATAAGTATGTGCACACAGGGAACACACATGTTCCTGTTTTATAACTGTGGTGCCCACCTCTGCCAGTATCCAGCTTTCAGTAACTACAAGGTGTTTAGTTTGGACTCATGTAGTAGCATGAAATGAGTTTAGATGGGGAAAGAATTGTCTGTGCCAGTTAAGGCATGACCTGGCAACGTTTGAAGCTTTTTAAGATTGCCATTCTTAAGGATTCTAGAAAGAAAATGCTCTATCATTCTAAAAATGCCACGTAAAGATTGACTTCTGATAAAGACATGTTTTTATTTTTGATAGAATATGACTATGTAAAGTTTATCTACAGCTCTCACAGCCTGATTCTTTACGTTTTCTTGTGTCCATTTAATAGTATACAGTAATAAACAAATGAGTGACAGCACTTTGGGTTTTGAGTGTCAATCGCAATGGAAGAGTCACCATCACATACATCCATGTCAGTAACCCTTTGCTATCAGAACTGACATTAATGGTAAGAGAAGGCCTTTACCTTTATATATAGCAGAAGGCTTTTTTACTGTCTGTGAACAACCTAATGTATGCAATATGTATGATGGATTCTGAGGAAACTTCAAAAGGAACTGAATTAACGTTCAAAGAAAATAATTTGTTTTAACTCGGTGTCTGAACAGTGAATTGTATATTGTATGAGAATCTCATTTATTCTTGGAAGTGTCTTCACCATTTAGGTTGACCGTTTTGCAAAATAGAGAGAATTGTTGATGTATCTGATTTGGTAATTTGAGTCATAGAAGAGCAGAGGAGAAAGCAAGAGCATCAGATCTGCAGGTCTAAGTAGGCCTGCTCTGTCACCATTACACAGTTGAATGAACTTTTTCATAAGAGGAAAACCATTTACTTTTGGGAGCATAGAAAGACTGAAAGTGTAAAACATTTGACTTTGAGAAATTCCAGTGACAACTGCAGGGATCTGATCTTTAATTTCAAACATGAAGTGGCAAAGCACATTAAGGAAGGTAGGTGACTGTCAGCCTGTTCACCTGCCACTTCAAAGTAAGGTGGCATACTTACATACTTTTGAGTGTTGAACTAGTAGATGAATAGAATTTTTTGATATAAATTAAAGGATCTAACATTTTAATTTCTTTCCTTTTTAACAAAATAGGCTCTCACTCTGTAGCCTGGGCTATCCTCAATGTAGTTCAGGCTAGCCTTGAACTCTTGATTCTCCTGCTTTAAGTCCTCCAAGTGCTGAGATTACAAGTGTGCAACACCATGCTGAGAAGTTTCCATTTTTAACGTTATTCTAAGTAGTTCTAGTGATACATCTTATTGTGGCTATAGTATTTTTTCACTTATGCAATTTGATATTCTTAAAACTTCACGATGTTTTTATAAGCAAAGAGACTATCATCTAAAATGAAAAATGTTAGTTTGACCCATATGATCCTCACTTAATATAATCAAAATGATCAGTATTAGAAATTTTATATAGTTTACCCAGTAGAATGGGTTTACTTGCGTGATGGACAGGTAGCCATCTTATGCCTTTGGCTAGTGAGCTTTATTGGGTTTTATATTTTTGATTGTGAGGTGGTTTTCAGTTAATGTTATCTTAAATAACCCAAGTAGAGGTCAAGTAGTGGGTTTGTGATAGCAACCTTAGATGCAGTTCTCTTCAGACTGGGCTGGAGAGATGGCTCAGAGGTTAAGAGCACCCACTGCTCTTCCAGAGGTCCTGAGTTCAATTCCCAGCAACCACATGGTGGCTCACAACCATCTGTAATGAGATCTGGCGCCCTCCTATGTATACATAATAAATAAATAAATCTTTAAAAAATATATAGATACTTGAAAAATGTACCCATAATTTTAACGCATTTGAATCTGTCATAATTATCTTGTGACAAGATGGTGATGATGATGATGATAATGGTGGTTATATATATTAGAACTTTTTATTATATTATTGATCAGGAAGATTGTCATTGTTTGTGAAGGCACTAGCCTTTGTAAAAAACAAATATCACATATTTGTTTCTGGGACCAAGAACTTAGTAATATAATAATTATTAATTTATAACAAAATACTTATTTAAATTGTTGCTTTGTGCATTTAATGCTTCATAGTTCAAGTTCAGTGTAAGATTTCATTTGTGAAATTGTTTCTGTTGCTTCCTATAGTTTATAAGATGGTTACAGTTTGATCTTTGGCATTGGCCTTTCTCTTGGGGTTAAGTCAGCTAACTTCCTTGAAACCCAGTTTTTTCCTGTAGACTACACATGGTTTCTACCTGTCTCATGGTGGCTTGGTGGCTTAGAGAGAATGTATGTAAGCACCATGCAAACCCTCAAATGTCACTATACAGGAATGAAAAGCTCAGTCTGTGTATTTTCCTGTTTTTTAGGATTGTAGCCACTAATATACACTGAATAATTTTGTTTGTAGTCATTTTTCATAGGAATTTTAATGATTGCTAGTAAAAGAGCAGTCATGATGATATTTTTATTGAGAGTAACCCTTATGCATATTTTTGGTTTCACGTTTCCGGTTGTATTCTCCTCTCTTCACACACCCTCCTTTAAAGAGTAATGTGATCCATTGCTTTTGGATTTTCCGATAATTTAATTAAATGTCTTTGACAAGGAAAATTGGTATTTGGCTTGAAAAGACAATGTGTTAAAGCTGAATTGCCCAATAACAGAAGATCTAGGATAAAGCAAGGGCATCTAGTTATTCAGTTTAGGAGAAGAGTTCTGAAGCAGTAGTCTCCTAATCTTACCATCTGATTTTTCCATTGATGCCTTTGCATCATCATCTCTGGTTCTTCTCAACATTGAGGAGGTTTGGGTGGCAGAGTCTCTGCCATACAACTAAGAAGACCCCTTAAGGCAGGCTCTGTTGCTGTGATGAACTCTTTTCCTTCTTCCCTGCAGTGCTGAGGCTGCAAGGGAATAGCTCCATTCCACACTCAGCCTCCGTGGGATGCTCTAGCGATCCTAGAACTGGGATTAGGAAAGTTGGCCTTCTTGACTGGGTTGCAGAAGCTAAAGGGGAAAGGGCAGCAGTCAGTTACCCCTCTCAGCTCCTGAATGCTTGTAGGCCCATCACTCCTCACTCTGGGCCCAGGACTCTGGGAGTATGTCTATGACATACCAGACATATTCAAAAACTGTTTTTGAGGCTAGAACCTCAAAACTGTTCTTATTTTTCTTTGTTACTGTGTATAAAAGCAGTGTGGGCATAAATGTGATGATCCTTCAGTGTAAATCAAGAAAGTGTCACCACTCAACATGGGGGAAATGAACAGTTTCATTTAAGAATGCTGTTGAAGAAGCAGTAAGTTTTATGTTTTGAATTTTCACCCCGGAGGCTCCTTCCTCTCACATGTGTGAGGCAGTGAGGAGGTGCACGGTACCTCTGTAGCAAGCTGCCTGTCTCATGTGTAAACATGTGCAGTAGCTTTAGTAACGAGCTGAATCAGCCAGTTTTTCATCTAAACCACTTTACTCAGAAGAGCACTGATGGACAGACTTTGCTTCCTCAGATTTGAGTGCTTAAGTAAACACATACATTAAAACTAGCAAATTTTTGTGCAATTATATTTGTTTCCATTAAATTAGAAAGTTTCTTGTATCTGTTTTGTTTTTGCGACAGGCTCATTATATAGCCCAGGCTGGCCTAGAATTCAGTATGTAGACCTGTCTGGCTTGGAACCCACAGAGATCTACCTGCCTGTGCTTCACTAGTCCTGGGATTAAAGGCATGCACCACCATACTAGGTGCAAGCTTCTCACTTTTTGAAGTCTCTCCTCTTCAGGTGAAGGATTACATTAATGGATGTGATTTTTTGATAACACATATGTGCACCAACATTTGGAAGATACACAGAACCCAGTGAACCAGTTTGTGAAAGCTGCTACACCATGTCCCACCCGATACTTTTCAGCCAAGAACCAAATCATTACATCACAATGGGTATAAACTTTGGGCTTTGCTATTGATTGCTTTAACATTGACAATGAATATTGTCAATTGTTTCTTTGAATTTTCAGTATTGTATTATTCATTTTTGAGGTGTTTATCAAGATCACATAGAGATAAAATATTCAAAATGCAAGATGGACAGGTGGATTTTAATATAATACAAAAATGTTAAATTCATGTATATGGTTTCAGAAGGGATATTTATAAGGTTTGATGTGATGTCAAAGAAAAGTGTTCATAATTGTCTCCTTTTTTTCCAACAACATATCTGATTTTCTTTAAACATTCTTCAGTCAAAACATCACAGCCAATGAATGCAGAAAACCCAGCTGTCTTATGATAAACAGACATTGAAGAGATTTGCAAAAATGTAAATGTGAATCTCACTGTTTTGTTATGGAAAATAAAGTTCCATAAAGATGTGTGATTTATGTTAACATGCAGTAGACTTTTATTTTAGGTGAATTAAACATTTAAACTTTCCCTGGCTTTAATATCTATTACAGTAACTATTGACAGTTATAACTTCTCTGGCATTTGCAATAGTTTTTGAGTGTGAAGGGCGTCCATGAGTGGGACAACTGAAAACTGTTATGCTGAAATTATGGACAGTAGAGTATGGTCCATGTAGAAGGAATTCAATGGAGAAAATAAAAAGAAAGCCATGATAGTACTGCCAGAAGATATGGATAAGGCCACCCAGTCATCTCTGTTGTGTGGGGATGCTTATAGACACTGCCTGGCACCTTTTTGTTGATGCTCCAGAAGCTTCTCTCTTAGCATGTTAAGACTTTGATCAACTGATTCTCGTGGCATCCCTTTATGTGGTAGAAATTAGGTGACCGGGCAAAATTTTGGTTCTGAAGAACTATTCTCTCTGCTATGTGAAGCAACTGAAGAAAGGTCTGGTCCAGGGCTGTGTCCATTACACTCTAATTGACTGGTGTTTTCAGAAAAGGAAAGGAAGACCCTGAGTTGCAGGGTTAGCTTGTAGGGCTTGGAAGCAGAGGCCTGTGGAAGCAGGAGAGAAACAAGGGAGAATCAGACCAGAGAAGTGTCAACCCAAGGCTTTGATAGTTAGCATTATATGACAAAGGAAAGCAAGACCACTGGTGTGGGTGGGAAATAGCACAACTCTGCAGTCGGGGCTGCTGGCTGCTTCCTTTACAGAAAAGTTTTGTGTGTGTGGAGGGGGGGAAGGATGTAGATGCAGTGTAAGAGTACATGGAAGCTCAGTAGCTATCACTAGTAGGATAGTAGCCTATCCTGTGGTCTCCAGAGTACAGGATAGGGATCTATTTCCTCTCTGTGATTAACTAAGACCTGAAAGTGGCTAGCAGCATCTGGCCTATCTTAGATATCATTGTGATAGGTGTGAGAAAGAAAGTATAATTTGCTATTAATCTTCCCACCCTTTTCCTTCTGCTATTGCCTGGACGCTAGGCTGTCCAACTACGGCATCAATTGTCCTTCACATGCTTCATTAGCACTAACAAGTGACATGGATTTTTGTCTTACCAGATGGTCTCTTATTTGGGATCTGGTTCATGAAGGTTCCCCCCCCCCTTTTAGATGATGATACTTCTATTTAAACACATAGGTATTGGCAGTGTATTCATATTGGATGCAGTACAGTAGAGCAGATACAATACAATCACACCATTTCCAAAATATATCCAGTGTGTGTATGATCTTTCCAGCTTGGTTCTACTGTTGTTATAAGAAACATTTTCAGAAATACAGTAACAAAGATGATTTGAAAAATAAAGTGTACTGGTTATTTGACTGTTTTGCTATTTTACTGTTATTGTGGCCACGAGACTGTTTCAACTATCCTACTAGTCTTTGGACAGTATTGTCATAAAGAGTAAGAATGTCTACTGAGAAAGTGTGCCAACACCAGCCTTAGAAGCTTAGAAGTATAAAATTGCTGTTGCTTTGGTGTGAACTCAAGTTATATCTCTTAGAATTTGCCAGTGTTTTGCAAGGAATGACTGTTTTAGACGAGTAGTTAAGGGCATATCTTCAATTTCCAAAATGCTTTGTGGGTATCTCTGAAAGATCCCATTCACTAAAGGGTTCTGCTTGACCTTTCCTTTCTCCTTCTCCAAGCCCTTTCCTTTACAAGGCTCCCACGCCAGCTGCAGGCACCTTGGTCATCAAGCACTCCTGTAGTAACCATGAAACAGAATGTTTTGTAGGCTCTGACTACCCCATAACTAGCCTTTACCTCTAAGATCCACCCAAGGATGACTCATCCATTGCTCTGTAAGCCAGGATATTGGTTGTCACCAAGGAGAAGACATAGATATTACAGATAGGAAGATTGCAGGATATTTCATCCTTATTTGGAAGTCAGTGGTGGGTTGAAAACTCACACATTCTACCACTGAAACTTCTGATAAGCGGTGACAGATACTTAAGGAGTAAAGTTCATATGTGAACAAGCATGACTAAGCATTTAAAGATGCCTAGCTTAGAACTGGATTATTCTGATATCAGTATAAGATGCAAATCAACTAATGCACCTGGATGTCTTATTTCATTCTTGCCTTTCCCTGTACAACAGCTAAAGCAGGACAGTTGAAGAAATGCATTTCGTCATTGTAATTACAGATGTGTATCCAATATTTAGAAAGCTCCCAACAGGGGTAACTAAAACTGGATTTTTAGATCATTATAATTATCTGAAACTGTGACACATTTCAGGTATATTTTATAATATCAATAACAAGGCAGCTTTCAGTATATGCTCCCTGGGTTGCCAGCTCCCACTAGGTGTTGAGGTCTGTGTATGTTCACATTTGTCATAGTAAACCCATGAAGAATCAATCTCTCTCTCTCTCTCTCTCTCTCTCTCTCTCTCTCTCTCTCTCTCTCTCTCTCTCTGTGTGTGTGTGTTTGTATGTACATGTATCTGTGTTTCACTCATTTGTGCATGTGTATGTGTGTTTATATGTGTATGTGTGTGTTTTGCTCATCTGTGCATGTGTGTAGAGGACATACATTGACATTGAATATCTTCTCAATTGCTCTCCACCTTATTTTTTGAAACCAGGCCTCTCACTGACCCAGAAGTTCACCAATGCAGCCAGAGAAGAAGCTGGCCAGCAAGGCCCCCGCCCGGGCCCTCCTTTCTCTCCTCCCTCTCCCAGAACTGGCCGTACAGGCCAGTGTCTCCTTGGCCGGCTTTCTGCATGGGCGCTGGAGACAGACTCAGAACCTCATGCTCACACAGCGAGCACTTTCCCCACTGAACCCAGCTCTCACTCTGTAACAGTGGAAAAATGGACTCAGAGCCTTAGGAACTGGCTGTGTGTCACAGTACCAACAAGCAAACAGCATTTGAAACAAGTTTGAGATCCCAAGTGTAGCACAGTATACAGGCAGAAACATTGCATGACTGTATACTCCAGTTTTCTTGATGTGAACAACTCATCAAGTCTTATGAAGTAAAATGGACTGTATCCAATAGGAACTAGAGCCTCAAGAGATTCTTACCAGGTGTGATCTCAAATTTAGATGTTTTCTTTTTTCATTCTTAATGATTTTAAATGAGGTTATTAACAATGTGGGTCATACTCTGTTGATATGATTAATCACAAGATTGATTCAGACAGATCTAGGTTGTTGTTTTTTTCTTGTAGTGACAGTTGAACCCAGGGTTGTGCACATGGGAGACGGTGGAAGTGCTTATTGCAGTTTTCACCTGTTAGTTTTTGCTTTTATCTTTTCAAACCCCCAATTATGTGGCCAGTTTTTCCTGATCTCAGAATGTCTTTTTCAAACTGCCCAGCACACTTGACCCCTCTTCCTGCCAACCAGCCAGTCATGAAAATCTCACTGTATCACCAAGGACTGCTGTCGTATCTTTGAAAAAGCATTGTCTAGAAATATTTCAGTATTGTGTTTCTTGAATAGGACCCCCAAGAAATATCCTCGCTTTTTGGTAAATTCCTTTGCAGTGCTTTATGAAGGTAAGAAGTGACATGAGTGTTCACTTCTACATTCAGGTCAGCATTCACATTGAGCATTAGTTAAAGGTGGTGTCCCCTGCTTGCTGCCCCCGTCTACCCCAGCTCCCTGCGTCTGCTGCTGTGCTGTATCCTCAGCACTGTTCTAGCCTTTAACTGGGTTTGTTTGGAGAGAGGGATTCCTGGCAGGTGCAGGTCTGCTGTTGTAGATCAGAACTCCCAAATAATGATACAGAGCTTATTATTAATTATGAAAGCTCAACTTTAGCTTAGGCTTGTCCCACTAGCGTTTATAACTTAAATTGACCCATTTATTTTAATCTACGTTCTGTCACGTGGCTTGTTACCTCATCTCTCCATACTGCTCATGCTGCTTCCTCCTCAGCTGGCTGGTGACTCCTCCTTAATCTTTTCAGAATTCTCTCTCTGTCCTAAAGTCCTGCCTACACTGCCTACCTAGCTATTGGCTGTTCAGCTTTTTATTACACCAACCACAGCAATACATTTTCACAAGTGTACAAATACCCCACAACAAAGAGTTCCCACAGAAACACCTAAGATGCCTCTGTGTGGTAGCTTGCTATGGATACTGTAAGTCTGCAGAGGTGCTCACTGATGAGCCTGCAAACCTGGCCACTAGGTATTGTTTCCAGAAGAAAGGAAGTCCTGAGATGGAAGTGACAGCTTCTTTACAAACCGTCTTTCCTAACGCACATTTTAGAAGGGTACTGATTTGGGTGTACACATAAGGAAAATTATTTAACTTCTCATCAAAACTTTCCTGTGTATTACTTGACATTGGTGAATTCTCAGTTGTGTTGTAGCCTACGTATTTATCGTGTGAGTTTGTTGTTTAAATACATTATGTTTGGTATATATTATATTTAAATACATCATGTTAGTACTATATAATAGCGTCGATATTAAATGTAGCTATAAGATATAGGTTCTGAAATATTATCTAGGCTAAGTTGTTGATATTTGGAAATTATTTTGGCTTAGCCAGGGTATGAATCAGTAGCAGATTACATGTCTAGCATGTTTGAGGCTCTGGATTAAACCCCAATAATACATAAAAGAAATTACTGTAAAATATTGATTTTATTTGACTATGCTAGAAACCTATTTAGTAGTTGGCACTCTTTAAAATGGGGGAAATATATGTTTAGGTAAATAGAAACACTTTCTTTGTAAAACTGTAGATTTTTTAAAAACAGTATGTTTCTGTGTCAAATACTATTTCTTTTAAATGGCCCTCACATTCTCAGACAAGAAATAATTGTCTTTTAATATCTATAAACCATTCAGTACTATGTATCTTCCATTAATTTATTTATTCCTTCATACATTAAATCCTTCTACCTGCTAGGTACCAAAAGAACAGAAAACGAGAAGGCCATCATTTTTACCTAAGCAGTGATTTTGCAGTGTACCTTTGGGTCTTGCAAAAACCCTTCAGGCTTATGGTTATATCTCTCATTTTATAGTACAAAAGAAGGTTTGCATACTTTCTGTAATGACCTGGGTAATACTTTGGGCTTCAGTTCATACTCACAAACATAGTACTTTAGCAACAATAAATAGTGTGGAGTGTATGTCTTTTTCTGATCTTGGCTTGGTTCTCTGCCTACCTTCCTTAACCAACATTGACAAAAGCACCCATGAAGTGTGTCATGGAAGAAAAATGCCTCCATCCCCAGAGCTGACAAGGAAAGCATCTGATGCAGGCTGCATGACTGCTGGCCTGGGGGACGTAGTGAGGGGGAATATTCACTAGAAGGTAATCCTTCTAAGGAGTGTTCCAAATACTTGTGGTGAGGGTGAGTTTTTAGAATTACTAAGCATTTGATCAGTGACTATAATATGGTACTGTTTATCTGGGTCACAGATGTAGGAGCATCCAGATGTGATGGTAGAAATCTACTGATACTCAGAGCGGTGGCACAGCCATTCATTGTTTACAGTTCAAGCCTATTTAGTCAGAATCCTCACTGAATACAGAGATGACAACCCTGTACTTAGGTCTGGAGGAAGCACTTTGACAAGCTCTTGCCATGATGCCCACGTAGAACTTGAGTACACACAACCCATATGTTAACATGGGTGATCGTGCTTAGTCTGTTTACTCTTGTGAAATATTCACTAACCAATATGTTGGTTTAAAAAAAAAATTGATGATACATAAGCAGCCATATGAAATGGAAAATATTTTACTCCTTGCTAGCTTTGAACTTTTAAATTTATGTATTTGTACCTTGCTTCCTTTACTGACTATTCACTAATGTCTAGGTGGTTCTGTTTTACTTTCCTCGCTAACTGCTGTCTTTATGGGAGGTATTGTGGAATATGTTATACACCCAGAGCAGAGGCCTGGGGCCCATTTCCCTCTGTCTTCCTCATAGTCATTTAATGCGCTTGACTGTTTAGGGATAATTAACTTTAGCAAGAACTATAAAAACCTGAAAACAAAGGTATGCTGTGCAGTCTATTGGAGATCAATCAATTCAAGATGAAGGAGTTTTAAGATAAAGATGGAAGTCTATGGAAAACCTGGATTAGGCTCACAAGAGGCAGATGCTTGCCTTTTTCTGGAATATGAATAATGCATAATTGGCTTTCAGTTATTTCTTAGAGAAATTTACATACAGGTAGTAAGTTCCTCTTCAGTCCCTAGCAGTAGGACCTGCTTCTTGAAGTCAGCGAATCCATAGGATGCATGTTCTTCAGCACCACTCAAGGTTTGGTTTCTGCATGGCTGTTACAGCACTTCACTGGACACTAATGACAAGTTGTAGGAAGTAACTTAGGTCTCAGCAAAAGCAAATACCTTCTCTAAATTACTATGATTGACTGCCCTCCCACCCCCACCTCACGGAAACCATGTTTTTCTTTTTAAAAGTTCATTTTGGAAAGATTGAAGTATTAACATGAGGGGATTCTAAAATGACCCTAGATATAGAAGCATATGGACAATAATTGAGATCAGCGTGTGAGTGTTCTGCCTGCATGCATATACATGCACCATGTGTGGGCAGTGCCTGCTGGGGAGTCCAGAAGTGGGAGTCAGATCTTCTGGAACTGGAGTTGTGAGCCACCATGTCGGTGCTTGGAATCAATCCTGGTTCCTCTACAAGAGCAGCAAGTGCTCTTACGTGCTGAGTCCAAAGACTGGCATTTAAACTCTCACAACAAAAGTAATTTTTCCCTCAAAGAGAACTAGGACACATTTCCTAAAGAAAGACCAAGAATTGATGTATTTGTTTTATTGTTTCGAGTCCTTAGAGAGGATTGTTTATATATGCTATAGGTATGTTTTCATTTATAGTAATTTACTTGCCTTGTGTAAGTATCAGATGGTGACTTTAGGAAGTCTATAAATGAAGAACAGCCCCAGGATACACAGCTGTATCTTACACGCATGTGCACACACACATACATACACACACATGCTCATGCACACATGCATGCACGTCACTAAGTGGAACCTACCTCTTTCAAAGCACAGATTGATTCAGTCAATCACAGTTTTATCTACAGCGGCAATCACAACCAATTTTATTCTGTTTGGTTGATTCTAATTTTGTGGTAATGGGTGTTTCCCTTGTGTTGTCTCTAGTGCTAAACTTGAGGCTGTTGTTGATCTTAGGAAAGAAGAAGCTCATTACATGGTTCCCTATCACACCTCCAGATGCTCAGGTGTTGGCTGCTAGAGAAGCAATTGCAGTTACTTAATTCAAAACCGTGGGGAGGGATGCTTTCCTATTGACCATTTTTCTGTCTTCTGTGAGGAAAGGACTAATAGAATGCCTTAAATAGAACTGTCTCCATGGCAATGGACAGTCAGCTTTTGACTTGGAGTCTCATAAAAAGGGAAATTTAAAAACATATTTTCATGGTCTGAAATAGCAGTATGGCATCAGGAAAGCATGAGAGTGCTTCCCGTCAGCCACTGCACCCTTGACTCCACCAGAATAAGGTGCCTTTCTTTGAATAGCGCTTGATCTGAGCATTTTTAGTCTGGACAACTCCTCCTCTTAATTAAGGGTGACAGTAAACTCGAGAATCTCTTATAAACTTAGAACTGGGGCCAGGGCCTGAGAAAAAGGTGTTTTTATCTCTGGTTGTATTCTTGCAAAGTAATAAAATACTGACCAACTGATGGGCTATTCTTGATTATGTTTAAGCAGAATTATCTCTGAAATAGTGGAAGTAATGACAATATTTAAAGTTTAATAAAAATGTATTTTTCTGGTCCCTACAATGTGTGGTCTTCAGATCACTTATCTTTTTAAAAGACAACTGCCAACCTGGATCTCCGGGTTCTGCTTCTGCCCACACCCATAGGAGAGACAGAGCCTTTGACTAGTACTGGGCCTGTCAGGGCGCACCTACAACAGAGTCCAGGATGGGAAAGGCTAGCTTCTTCAAGTACGTGATGTTTGCATTTTCTAGAAGACAGACACAGAGGAAGGAATGTCCACACTGGCAAGGTTAATTGGAGATGCTGAGATGGAAGACTATTTTAGCAATACTTATTCTTCTTGTTTTAGAGTTTGTTTTTATTACTAAGCATGAATTGGTAAACATGTTTAAAGCTGTCACTGCACATGTGAGACACACACTCTACAGCTGACCTCTATTCCCAACATCCCCCACTGGGGTTATAACTGATTAGGTTATTTGCTTATTACTATTAACAGTGGTCACAGAACAGATACAACTCCAGCCACTCAAAGATATTACTGTGTCAAACAGAAGAGTGGTTAATATGGAATTCTTGTAAACTTCCTACATGTCTTTCTGAGGAAAAGCATAGTCCTCTAGAGTGAGGGAAATTACTATTTCTTGTCAGAAATGGTCTTGACTGACATTTGAATGTATCATTTTGACATCACTGTTTCTTGAGGCGGCATTAGAATTTTCTTCACAGCTTATCTCATTTATTTTCTATAAGTACTTTATGAAGTTGAGATGCCATCCCCACTTTATGAAAGAATGTTTTCCTACTGGTCCAGTGTTATACTGGTATGTGCACTGGTATGGTACCGTGGTAACATAAAACTTTCCCTCTCTAGGAAAATGTTGATTAAGGGAACAATTTCTTTTTAAAGTTATTGTTTATAATAAAAATACAACAATCTTGTTTTCTAAATTAGAAAAAAGCACATCTTTTCTAGGGAAAATTCTTGTCAGCTTTTGTGCAGAAGGGTTTCATTGCCATATAGCCTTGGGAATCGATATTTCATGATTTGTCTAACAGAGAAAGAACTATTAATTCAGAGCTGATGGAACTGAGCTGATCTCTTGTTCCCTACAACATTCTTGTGTAATGCCTGCATGTTTTCCCCTAGGAAATCAACTAGCATTCAAATATAAGAGGTCCTTGAATGTACCAGGCTCTGCTGACTCCCCATGGGAGACCTTGCCTTGGAGGAGGTGGGAATGGGGGGTGAGTTGGAGGGGAAGACTGGGGGTGGGGGGAGGGAGGACAGGGGAATCTGTGGTTGGTATGGAAAATGAAAAGAAAATCTCTTAATAAAAAACAAACAAACAAAAATATAAGAGGTCCTTATTTACATGTGCATTTTGAAGTCCAGATGTATTGGTATGTTAATTCTTTGAAAACATTTGCCAACTAAATTCTGCTTATTAAATATATGTGCCTGTCCAAACTGTAACTTAAAATGATTTTCCTCGCATTATGGGTGAGTGATAAGTATGCCTTGGTAATTTGACTTCTGCTGTCATTCACAGGATAAAGCTACCATTGGAGTGGTCAATAAGTCCTGTATTGATTGATCTGGAAATGTACTTTGTCATGTGGTGTTGCTGGAGGGCTTCTCTCCAGGTTCCCCAAGTCCCGCAGTCCCACAATCCACTTATAAAATAATCACTTAGACGCTTATATCACTTATAAACTGTATGGCCGTGGCAGGCTTCTTGCTAACTGTTCTTTTATCTTAAATTCACCCATTTTTATAAATCTATACCTTGCCACGTGGCTGGTGGCTTACCAGCGTCTTCACATGCTGCTTGTCCTGGCGGTGGCTGCAGTGTCTCCTCCTCAGCCTTCCGCTTCCCAGAATTCTCCTCTCTCCTTGTCCCACCTACTTCCTGCCTGGCCACCTACTTCCTGCCTGGTCACTGGCCATCAGTGTTTTATTTATATAGAATGATATCCACAGCAATGTGGAATTCAACTCCAAGGTCTTGTTGCCACTTAGGTAACTGCTGAAAAGTCTTAAAGCTGTTCCCACAGCTTTAAGGAAAACAATTTGGGGTGTACCTGGGAACTCAAATGCTTTGCCTTAGAAAGTAGAATTAGTCCAAAGAGCCAACAGGAACTACTCGGGAGACCCTGCAGCTTTGTTCTTTGCCTATTTGGATACTTCTTTGGGGAATAAACCCCATGGCTAGAGAATGTGGGAGCAGTCCCTGTGAGGGAAAAGCAGGATATTAAGACAGCAGTATTCCAGGGGCCAGCCATTAGCTTGTGAAATCCTGACCCATCAGCCCACCCATGTGCTGTGACAGTGATAAATGAGCTTGGCACATTGGGGATCACATAGTGACCTTTTATCAGAGAAAATTGTGGTTTGGGGAGATGTCATTCTTAGGCAGGATCAGCTGTACTTGAAAGGTCTGTCAAACTAACAAACTTAATGAAAAGTTCAAACACAGTACTGAGCTGGGGAGCTGGCTCCATTGGAAAAGTACTCTCTGTGTGAGCATGAAGACCTGAGTTTGAGCTCCCCAACCAGGTAAAAAGCCAAGCCTGGTGGCACACACTCTAATCCCAGTGCTGAGGATGCATAGACGGGAGGACCTCTCAGGCTCAATACACAGCCAGCTGGGCTATCTGTTGAGCTTCAATCCAATCAGAGATTCCATCTAAACAGAGGGGAGGGGATGGAGAGATGGCCCAGGGGATAAGAACACTTGTTGCTCTTGCAGAAGAACTAGGTTTGATTCATAGCTCCTGTATGGCATATCACAGCCACTCTAGTACCAGGGGATCTAATGCTTTCTTTGACCTTCTTGGGCACCAGGCATATACATGTGCACATGCATACTTGCAAGCAAACATTCATACACATAAAGATGTAGCATGAATCTTAAAAGTTCTTATTAATAAAATCAAACCCGAAGCCAGTTATTGGGGTCAATGATGGTAGATCAGAGAGACAGAACAAGCCACAGCTACCTCACCTCACCGGATCCTCAGCTGGTCTTGTCTCCTCAGACTGGAGGCCTCTGAGTCCTCATCCAGAATGGGTCTCAGCTGAATTGCTGCTCAAAAGCCTGAATGCTTAACCAGCCAAATGCTTAACCAGCCAAATGCTAGTTTTTGGTTCTCACACCTTATATATACCTTTCTGCTTTCTACCACCACTCCCTGGGATTAAAAACTCGCTTTCTGGGATTAAAGGCCTGAGTCACCATGCTTGGCTGTATCCTTGAACACATGGATTTCTGCCTCTGGAATGCTAGGATTAAAGGCGTGTGCTACCACTGCCTATCCTTTATGTTTAATATTGTGGCTGCTCTGTCTCTGACCCCAGATAAGTTTATTAGCATGCACAATATTTGGGGGAATACAATACCACATTTCCTCTCTTTTTGTCTAAAATTTAAAAAAGCTTATAACTAATACAAGAAAAATTATATCCAGTAAGTATATACAATATACACAGTCAAGATTACATTAACGATGTCTAGTCCATTAACATTTGACAAATTCAGATAAAAACTTCATTATATATATTAACAATGTCCAGTCCAGTAACATCTGATAAACTCAGACCAAAAAAATTTTCATTACTTATATATAAATCTTCAAGAGAGATAGCTCCTGAGGAATGACACCCAAAGTTTACCTTTAGCCCCACGTGCTCACACACATCCCACACAAACCTACAGTATATCCAGATCAGGTAATGCTTAAGGCTGAAGCTAAAATTCCATACTATGTTTTCAATGGAAATACCTGAGGACAACATATCCATACATTGTTTTGTGAGGACTTTTTAAATTATTCATAATAATAGATCATAAAGATTATTAAAAAGAATGCTCATTTATATAACTTTATTATCTCTTGATTGATAAAGAAAATAAAAATACAGAGAGGAAAATAATTAAGCTCTATAACATTAAACTGTATCTATTTAAATGGTTTTAATTTTCTTAGAGTATGGTATGTTCTGTGTTTCTCTCTCTCTCTCTGTGTGTGTGTGTGTGTGTGTGTGTGTGTGTGTGTGTGTGTGTGTGTGTGTGTAGAATGTCAGAACAATGCTTAGAATGGCTACTGTCCAGAAATGGTTACTCATATTGTGATGGTTAGTCTTGACTGTCAACTTGGATGGCCTAGAAGATTAGAGTAGCACACTTTTGGGTATGTCTTTATAGGCATGACCAGAGACAGATCTTGAAAGCTATGGGCTAATGAATGGATTGACCCTCTGTGTATTAATAAGATGGCATTATTTGGAGTTGGTAAAAAGGTATAAGGTTGGGCCTAGTTGGAGGAAGTAAATCACTAGGAGCATTTCTTTGGGCTAAATCTTGTCTTGGCCCCTTCCTGTATTCCCTTTGATCTGCCTTCTGTCACTGTGATATAAAAGCTCCAATACATGTTCTCTACCATGAAGGACTGAACCATCAGAGCCATGAGCCAAAGAGAACTTGTTCTCCTTTAAGCTGTTGTCTTGATTCGTGTTCCTGTTACTGAGATAAAATACCCTGACAAAAACAGCTAGGGGAGAAAGGG